CATTGGTCCAGATATTTTAATGAGGTCAAGTAAAGAGCTGACACCAATCCCCACTCTCTTGCGATCCTAAGTTGGGATAACTGATGTGGCAATTCAATCTAGTGCATCAAAATGGTGCCTTCCTAGTTTAACGGTCAAATAGGCGAATTAAGATGTGAAATTTGACGTATTAGGGTGTTTTTGGGTCTCTAAACATGTTGGTGGGGTCTGATTGCTCAAATAAGGCTTGGATGATGGAGATCCAAGATAGGTAAGCTTTTGATCAATAAGATTCATCAAAACAGAATCATGGCTTGATAATGGGCCAAATGAGGGAATTTTGAGATGAAATTTGGTGGGTAGGTATGGATTGGGATTATGAGGCTGTTGGGAGGGTTTGATCGTGTCAGGTATGTATAGTTCACAGGTTTTAGGCTCGAGAAACGTCGTAGTGTCAGACGTATTGAAATGGAATCTCTGATGAATGATAATCTAAATCAAGGAATTTAGGGCTGAAATTTTGTGTGATTTGTTGTTTAAGGATTTTGTTTCACATGATGGACTTTGATCAGGGATCAAGTATGGTGATATGGCATAGTCAAGATCATTGAATGCGAATCATGTAGATTTAACGATGAATTTATGGGCATTTGGGCTAAATTTTGATTTCTTAGGGTTTTGGCATGTTATAAAGAGATGGATATGATCCGATCGGGCATCCAAAATGCAGGAAATGGATTAAAGAATGGACCGGGCAAAAATTGGGTGTTGACAATACCCTTCCTTTCATTAACGTTCTTCATCATGGGTTGCAATCATACAGGCTTAGCAACTCGAATCCTTGTTTGAACTGACTGAGCGAGAATGTTGTATTTTTCACCCAATAAAGAGGTACCCAAGTCATCCATTTTATTTAAAAAAAATCTTTTTTTTTTGTATTAAATGTATGCACTTGTTTAATGATGTCGGTGATGGGTAACCTCTCCTTCTCTATTTTTTACTGAAAATAATAATATAAAAAATTATACCAACTTGTAATGGATGTGAGAGAGATGTTATGAGAGAGACGGGGAAGACCTCGGGACGGAGATGAATTCTCACATAGGAATTATTGAGCTGAGGACGGGAAAATTTGGACTTTTCGGGCAAGTTTTGGTTAGCTCCGAGCGGACTAAGGGTGGTATTCGTGTAGGAGGACAGGTGGCAAGCTTTGATTGTTTGGGGCGCATGTAGGGTGTTGATGCAAATTCATACAAATGCGGAGATATTCCCGATGCATGGCTGTAAAAGGCTATGTAAACGGTCTGAACACGGTCTTGTGAGTACTTAGAGATGTAAATCGGGTTGTGTCGGGCTTGGCTACGGGTTGGGCCGAGCCGAGTCAGACTATTTTTTTTTACATTTTGACTTTTTTATTTTTTTGCTAAGTAAAACTAAAATACTTAACTTTCCTTTGAGAACAAATTGAAAAAATAAAAATTATAGCAAAAGAATGAAAAAATACTTAACAAAATACAAAATGGACAATAAATTGAAAAAATAGGAATTTTATTTCATTTAAATTTGAAACTTGAACAATAAACTGGTCAAAAAATACTTAACAAAATGGAATAAAATATAAAAAAAATATAATACAATTACCAATTGAAAAAAAAAATATATTGTTGAAAAAATAACAAATAATTTAAATAAATTTGAATAGAAAAATTTACAATAATTTTAAAAAATTCTATACAAAAAAATATTGTCTTCATCATTTTTCTTCAAGTTCTACCTCCATCTCCATCTTGATTTTGATCATCTACTTCAAGTGAATTATTAGGTGTAGTGTCATGCCCTCCTTTGTCTTGTAATCTATCTTTAACATCTAGCCAATCTTTGAAGCAGATGCACATCTTTAGACTTTCATCATTAATGCAACCTTTCATGTCATCCAACACCCTAGTACCTGCATTAAAGCAAGACTCCAATGGAATCATAGGCAATCGAGGGGTTAGTAGATCACATGCCATGGCAACAAGGACTAGATAATTTTTTTTCATGTCCACTCCATTGGACTAAAATATCAAAATTATTCATTCCTTATGAGTTGAAGGAATCACTTAAACTATAAAAAATTGCTTGTAAATAAAAATTAAGTTCAGTAAATGAACTTGTTGATGAGGTGGCAACAAATTTCTGCCTCCAACTTACTAGAAACCAAACTCTATATTTTCCACTACTAGAACTAGTTGTTTTAGAAGTGGAAGTTGAACCTATATAAGTTGTAGATTTTTTATGCCCTATCATTTGAGATTCCTATAAACTATACATTTCAAATAATAAATTATTAATATTTCTTTTTTGATTTCCAACTTCAATATCCATATTTTCACAATATGATTCAAGTAAAAATGTCTAAACCATCTTTCCTAATCCTAGTATCTAATATTGTAGCTAAACAATAAATAGGAGAAATGTTCTCCCAATATTTTTTAAACTTATTTTCCATTATTTCAATAGTTCTTGTGAATTGTGGATTTTTCTATATTTTGCAAAACATTCACTAATCATGAATAATTGATTAACTAAAAGATAACTAGTTTGGTAATGAACACCCAAAAATTCTTTAGTTACATTATAAAAATTATGTAAAAAATATCTTATACAAATTGCCATTTCCTACCTAATCTTCCTCAAGTATAATATCATGTGACGTTGTTGCATTATAAGAATCAGCAAGAATTTGTTTGTAGGGAATACAACTTTCTAACATAAAATAGGTAGACTTTAATATATGTTGAATGTTTAACATAAAATGTTTGTATTTTAAACAATAATTATGACAAATATTTAAATTCTTGTTTTCTTTCTCCATAACTTTTAATGTATATAATACAATTTCTAATTTTAGAAATATGATGAGAAATAATATTTAAAGCATCTTGAATACATAAGTTTAAGATGTGACATACACATCTAGTATGAAATAATTTACCATTTAAATATGATTTTAATTGAGATTTTAAAAATTTATTGTTGAATCATTATTATTGGAATTATCAAAACTAATAGAAAAAAGTTTATTATTAATTCCATAAGCATGTAAAGTATTTAAAATACTTGCAGCAATAGTTGGGCCAATATGTCAAGCCTAGTAAAACTTAAAATTCTTTTTTATAAAAACTAGTTTTCATCAATAAAATGGCTGATAACACAAATATAACTTATATTAAATTTAGAGGTCCAAATATTAGAAGTAATTGCAACTGTATAATTAAGATGTGATAAAATAGAAATTAAATTTTGTGTATGTGAATACAAAATTTTCAAATCATTTGCTCTAATAGTATTTCTATAAACTTTTTTTTAAATTGAGGATTTACAAAATTACGTAAAATATTTTCAAGTTTATTATCCTCTACTATTAAAAATGGTTGTTCAACATGTACAATATATTTTGCCAACTCTTACATCATTTTTTCTTGTGAATATTTAAAAGTACCAAACCCCATGCCTAATTTGTGTTTGTGATTTTTTCTTTTCCTTCTTCTTGTTTCTCATGGTCAGTTAAAGTCACTCCTACATTTTTGGCAAACAACCCTTTTTCCTTCCTTTCAACCTCCTCTATTTAAATAATTTCTAAATCCGGCTAAGTCAATTTAGTTCCCTTCTTTTTCTTTCTCCCAATAGCAGTATGGGTGGGAACTCTAACAATGTTAATAGCATCCATATCAATGTTAGCGCTATCATGTTGCAACAAAACATTGTTGGCATTGAACATGCTAGGGACTTGGTTTTAGGAGGAGCTGGCTAATTTTTTTTTAATTCAAAAAAAATAAAAATTAATTTAATTACACTCACCTGGATTGCCAATTCAAAATCTCAACTTAATTTCAACGATCGAAGCTTCCAAGCCTCTCAAATTGCTAACTTGAGATATTTGAGCAATCCTTCTTTTGTTGAAACTTGAAAAAAGAGTGTATGAGAACTTGAGAGAGTATGAAAAGAGAGTTGTTAAATTGGTGTGATGAGAATGATAGGACTATTTATATGAATTGAAAATAATTCAATTGCTCAAAATAGCTTAAAAACTAGTTGTTTTTTAGTTGTTAGGAGAGGCATTTTAGCCATTGTAAAATTGTTTATCACTTTATTCAAAATGCTCTCAAACTAGTTATATAGCTGTTGGGAGGCTTTTTGGCCATTTTTATATAACTATTAATGTCTTTCTATATAACTATTGGGGGGTGTTTTTGTAAAACCCCCTTAAAAAGCTGAAAGTAACTATATAGAGGGGGAGGTCCCAACTGCTAGTTTATTGAATGGGCCACTCTCAATCCATTATGGGGCCCACATGTCAGCTCGTCAAGATCTTTATGCGAAAGTCTTTCAAAAAAGAATTGCCAAACGGCCCCGAATTCGTTGGTGAACCATCCAACATTGCTCTTTAACACCGTGCTTTATCGTAGCCTGTCGGATCCGGATTCAGTTCTTTATTGCCTTGCATTGGGAATATCTCGCATGATAGAGATGTTCCCGACGCAAGGCTGTTCGAACGGGTCCACTGATTGAAGCCGATCTCAGCCTGAGGGATGCCGGCGTTCTGCCGCCGGGTATGAAAGGCCGGAACAGCTTCGTGAAGGAAGCCCAGCATCATCCAAAGATTGCTACCGCCGGATAGGAAAATGTCGAAGAATTGAACTGGGACTGTGTTTATGCTTATGCGTCTCGACGGATCAATGTACCGAACACTCTCCGCCAGCCAGTACCCGTTTTTGGAGGCAATAGTCAAGGAAATAACCCGAGATCTTCTCTGTTCCTGCTCCTTCTGCTCCATCTGTCTCTATCTCTCCATCTCCAGTTCCCACCATCAAGCCCACACGGACAAATCCAAGAATTGCCACTGCTGGATAAGGAAAATGTCGAAGGATGGGAACTCGGACTGCGTTTATGCGTCTCGACGGATCATTGTACAGAACGCTCTCCGTCGGTCAGTACTCGTTTTTGGAGGTAGAAGTCAAGGAAATAATGGTAGATGCTATTCTTTCTTCCTCCGTAATCTTTTTCTGTTCCTCCTCCTCCTCCTCCATCCTCGCCTCTGCTCCTCCCGTCTCGCTTGCCGTTTATCTCTCCATTATAAGTTCCTACCATCAAGCCTTCCTCTCGTCTCAGTCCGCCACGCCTCTCTTAGCTGCATTCTGCAGGGACAATTTTGTCCGGAAAAAAAACGTAACCGATTTTTTCGTTCAATTCACTGAACTTCGTTTTGTTATATTTCTATTTATTTTTGCAAAAAATCCAAAAATGGTTTCCAAGTAAGATTTGGAAACCACTAGTCTGTAATGTCTTTTTACTTGCCTAGGAATAAGGAAGCATTCCCAACATCCTCCGTCTCTTTCCTCCGCATCACTACTGACTGAGACCTATCGTTCTTCTAGACTGATCCCTGCAGGAAACGTATGGAGAAGAAGCAGAAAGTTTAGGAGAGGAAAGAAAGATAAGAAGCTTCAAGCATAACCTCATTCTGCTCGGCCAACTGCAGGCTCTTCGCTCAATCTTGAACCAGAGTTCAAGCTCAATAAGGAGGTAACTATCCTCTCCCAATCTATTTTCTTTCATTAAACTGAAGCATGTAGGGTCTTTACTTTTTTTCCTTCTTTTCTGCTATTTGCAAATTGAATATGTAGCCAATGTGGAAACCTGCTGGTAGAATTCGAGTTCCCTCCCTGGTTCCAGTGGCCAGAATAGTTTCTTCTTATTTTGTTGCTTTTTGCAATAGTACTACTTATCTTTGCTTTTCTCTTTTGCCTGAAATATAGACCTGAAACCCCATCCGCTTGCTTGCCATTACATATTTCGTCCCGAGGTTTCTTGTTTCAATGCTTTGCAGTAAATAGCAACTGTTCTATTACTTTCTTTTTTCATGAAAATTCCATGCAAAGCATTCTCTTCTGCTTGCTGTTGCTCTACTTATAAAATTCTGGGCCTAACCGTTGTTTTCATTTGTTCTTCTACTGTTTTGAACTTCACCCTGACTTTCGTAGTTTACTAATCTTGTTGGATCAATTGGGGGCCCAACTGAAGGCGGGGGTGCTTCACCTCTTCTCCCACTTAATAATAGTCTCTCATCCTTTCTGGTTTATTGGGTATTGGAGCTCCTTTTTTAACCGAATTCCAATTGGTTCTGTTGGGTCCTGCTTCCCATATATTAGCAAGTGGCGTCTCTTCCATTTTTCTGCGTGGATCCCTGATCAAGAGTTTGGGATTAAATAATCTAAACCTGAAAAGGATGGCATTTCGGAAGTTCCAACTTCCAAAATATTATGTGCAATATATACTTAGAAGTGTTATCAGACTCACACTGGACTGAATGGGCAGACTGTTTGAACTGGGAATGAGCCAAAATGGTTTTTGGGTTGCCTGGTTCTTAGAAATGTCAACTTGCTCAAAGCATATCCCAAATACTTCTTTTAATAGATTTTATAACTGTTTTTACTATTTATTATTTTATACTTATTTTGATTTCGTATAGCTTTAAAAGATAAGCCAGAGCAATTTTATATTTTACATTTTTTATTTGAGTGGGTTAAAAGGTTGAACCTAATGATTGAACCGTTTGATCCCTGATCCAGTGACCAAAACAGTTCTATGTCCAGTCTGAGTTTGACAACATTGGTACTTCGTTAATAATGATAAAATTAATAATTATGTTTTTTTTCCTTTTCTTCCTTTTCCTTCTTTATTCTCCTTCCTTTTTTCTGTTACTGAAAGTTTTCTATCCATATTAATAAAAAAAAAAGTTTTCTATCCATGCTTATTAGCTTATTATAGATTTCTTGTTCTGTTATTTGCAAGCTCTGTAGTACAAAAATATAGTTTTTGGTACTGGTACCAAGAATCATTGTGCAGCTGTGAATTTTAAATGTTGCACATACAAGGTGTGGTGGCTGTTTGATAACAGCTGAACTGGCTGAACTGAATGGCTTAGTGCTTTGTCTTTTAGTGAATGCCATTCAGGAGATTGTGCGATGCTTAGTGGCTGAAGTTGAAATTGGGTTGATCACTACACCTTCATATATTTTGTTATTTAATTATTTTATCCACCAAAAGACAAAGCAATAAGCCATTCAATTGAACATCACTTCAGCCATTATCAAATAGACCATTAATGTTGCACCCCTTGTTTTGGTAGAAGCAGGTCACACAGAGGTGCTCACGGTTCGGTGGGCATTTTCTTGAACCGAACCGGTAGTACCGGTTTTTGGAAAACCGGTAACCGGTATCAAACCGAAACTAGTCGGTTAACCGCTGGTTCGGTTCGTCGGTTTTTCGGTTTTTTAGTTTTTACAATATATATTATAAAAATATATAAATATATAATAAAAAATTATTGATATATATAAAATATTATATTTTAAATAAAAAATAATATATAATATATTATAAATATATATAATGCATATTTATTAATTTATAATATATAAAAAATATAAAATATATATATATATAATATACATAAATATATAAAATATATAGAAATATATGTATACCAGTCGGTTTGGTTAATTGCCGGTTTTTTACATTGGTTAACCGAAACCAAACCGGTACCTTCAGTTTTTTAAAAACACCGAACCGACCGGTTCGGTTAACCGGTTTTTTGGTTTTTTTGCTCACCCCTAGTCACACATGGGCTTCACAATTGACAAAACTATTACCAATGTCAGAAAGTGTTGAAGTAGAGCATGGCCACCTGCTTTGTTTAGCATTCTATGGCTGCATGGAATTTATCAGTTCCAGTACTGAAAACCACCAACTTATATTGTAGAAAGGCTCTTCTTTCATATATTGATTATTTATTTATTCTTGTGTACTAAATATTCTTCCTAATCTTTTATAGATTCTTGTTAATAAAACCTGTCTATTCCTTGCTATGGTGGTTTTCTTTACAAACTTCAAAATGTTCCCTTGATTGAGACAAGGAAATATGTATTCCTTGTTTCTCTAACATGCAGAATATGATATTTTCTTTAGACATTCTTTGTTTCTAATTAAGGGATTGATCTCATCCTTCCATTGGGATGGATGGCCAATAATGATTTCACACTATTTAAATCACATTACTCTATGCTTCTCTTTATAGACTCAAATTTAATTCAACACTTAATGGTTCTAAGTCTTGAGGCATAGTGTAATTCATAGAGCAGTATATTGTTAAATAGCTCTTTCCCTCAAGAATCTAAATGGAAATAGTTCCTGCTTTATACTCTCATGGTTTTAATTGTGAACTAATTAAAATGATAAAGTTGAGCTTTATTAGAAGAAAAAGACAAAAGGTAAAAACCACTAATCAACACGATTTCATTGATGCCCTTTGTCAAATCCAATTGAAACTACAACCAATAACTTTACTTCTTCTCTTTCTTCTTAGTTAATATTTTTTTTTCTTCTTTATTTATGTTAAAAAAAAAAATAAAAACTTTACTTTCCTGAACATGAATGTTAGTTTTCTATATGCCCAACCAAACGTGTTAGTGAGCTGAATATTTCTAAGATTTGGTAGACCTATGATTTCTGTACTTAATATACATGTAATGCGTCTAGGATGATTGCAAAGCACAAACTCTAAGAATCTAAAATGATGAACTCTGATTTGCCATAGCTTTCACTTCTATTTTAGAATCAATTAAAGGACCAAAACATTACTCCACCATTATAATCAGATATCTTTTAAGACTTAAGTTTTGCATATCCTGCAGATCTGACAAGTAATGTAGATTTGCTTTTGAGATGCTTCAGTCCACAATATGAGTTGAGGGTTGTAAGTGATCTGTTGGTACTGTTGGAAAAAGTTCTACGAAGAGAAGGATTGCTTTTTTAGGAAGTTGCAAACTTCAAAATTTTATTAATGTCTAAAAATAATGAAATACAATTAGTTTGCCAAGTACCTCAATTTATGTAGCTAACCTCAGTTAGTTTCCACTTCTTTTTCCTCTTACAAGTTCCTCCCTCGGATATCACACCCCAACATTATCTTGTTTCTGTTCACTCCTTGTTTTTTCCAGTCTGTCAGCAATACAATTAGCTGAGTGCAGTGTCCATTTGTAACTCATCCTCAGCTCTGAATCTAGATAGGAAATACCAGCTTTTATGCTAGTAATTGTTCCATACATAGTTATGTTACTGTGAGCTTCTGATACGACAACAATAGATTTCAGAAAGGGCATTCAAGGGGCAATCTTATTGTAAAGTTCTGGCAAAGTATTTGAATTTTTGTGATTGTTGGTTTCTGAACTTTTGGGGCCATTGCTTGATGCAATGGTAAAACCTTGGATGACAAGCATGAGAAGACTGGTTTAGCCTGAGATAGACCACTTTGTACCAACAATACTAGAGGTTTCTATTCACTCCGTCCCTCCCAAGACCCTGGATAACCGGACCAGCATTGGGTAATGGACATTTTAAGTTGGTGAACTTTATTAATGAGAATGTTGTATACTTGATGCTTGAATTGTATTGGAACCATGGTTTTTAGCTGTTATCGACAAACAAATATAAAAAAGTTAAAGAAATTAATTAATGTAGATAGAGATGGATCATACTGAGGAAAAAGTGATTAACAGGTATACTGAGTTGATAAGGAACTGCTGTTTCTTGAAATGTCAGATAAAGTAGGCATCCATCTAAGGAAGGCTTCTCTTATCAAGTTACTGTTAGGTTTAAAGAAGTGATTACAACTTTCTTTTCGGGCTAGAATTGTGATTAATTATTTTCTTTTATTGCATCAAATCCTTTATGAACTTTCCAATGTTTCTTTCCCTTTTTTATTTGTTTTAAGTTGTGGATCTTGATTGGTACTTGAATAGGAAAGTTCAAGGTGTTGAGCATATAAGCCACTATTCCAATTTATTGTTTCTGTAAAACTAGAAGATTGTCAAAGCAGAAAATACCTGTTGGGACAACTTACTACCATGATAATCTTATATTTGTTTTTATGGACTGTGGCAATAAGGAAATGGTATGAATGACTTACAAATTAGATGCCACAAATGAAAAAGAATATCCAGGATGAAGAAACCTTTTCATTGGCAATTTGATCATTAAAAAACAAATACTGAGAGGAACTTCACACTGCCTTGAGAAAGGATGCCTTATTAGTTACCATTTTTCCACCCTAATATTTTAGCTTAAATTGTATGCAGATTTGTGCTTTTGTTTTGAAGATGAGTGATGAATTTGCTAATTGGTAGACCTATTATTATGTAAGTGAATGGACCTTGTATTTATGCTTTTGTTGAATAGATAACTTAATTTGCTTGGCTTGACTTTCCTTGTCAACTGGTAAAAGTGCAGTTTTTAATTGATTTTATTTTCTTTTAAATTATTATTAATTATGTTGGTAATGGGGTGTATGTGGGACTCATTTCAGTTAAAATGATACACATGGTATAATTGCTTTCTGTATATGTGTATTTTGGTATAAAAATGTGGGTCAGCATTTAGTTTAAATTGGGCACTCAATATTTGCTCAGGCAAAAATACTCTCTAAAGGAGTCAGCTAGCCTGTAAGCATAGTTTTCAAGGCGCCAAGGCGAGGCTAAGCGACAAGGGGGTGCCTTTCGCCTAGTCTACTAGGCGGGTGCCTAGGTGATGGATTTTTTTCAAGTAAAAATGTGTATCCTAGGGTAGTTCCCTAGGTTCTATAATCATATTTCCTTAATAATTATCCATAATTTTCATGAGAAAAGTATAAACTTCATGTTAAAGTATAGGAAATCAACATATTCCAACATATTCATGAGAAAAAAGAAGAAAGAAAAGAAATTTTAAAAAATATAAGGGCCGAACCCCTATTTCTGTTATAGGAAAAGAAGAAAAGAAAAGGTGGAAGAAGAAAATTGGTATATGGTATAGACACACAAAATTAGTAAAGAAAAAGAAGTAAATGTGTTGGTTAGACAACATTTTATGTTCTTCCTTACTTGTTGATTCAGGTTTTGAAGTTTTTCAGGGTTCAATACGGCATTTAGCAATGTTTGTGTTGATTAAACCCTAACAAATAAGAAAATAATAAAAAGAAATTAGTATATAAACACACAAAATGAATATTTTAGTTTAAAAATGTCTATTTTAAAATTATAACCTCAAAAAATTAAGAATATAAAAGTTTTGTCTAACACACTGTAGAAAACTGCTAGGCGAGCCTCCAAGGGCGCCTTGTCGCCTAGGCGTTGCCTTGACAACTATGCCTGTTAGTTCCTTTGTTGGGGTAGGGGTGGTCAGACCTTCTATATTGGAGCAAAACATTGCTTCAGCATTCTAACAACTAAAACTGACATGCTTGATCATCATCTAAGGACAAAAGATGAAAGATTTAAAGTGGCATCGGCAAGACAGAATTTTGTATACACTGGTAACCATTGACAGGTGGGATTTGTACAGGTTCAAGTGAGTCACACACTGTGTTGGGTTGCAGAAAGATGCCCTTACAGACTTAATTGTCCTCTTGGCTTCATTGCATGTCTAAAGCTGGAGGTTACTCGCACTTTGAATGTGTCAAATGGTGTTAGGTCCTGCTAAGTTTCTTGTGGGTGGGCTCACCAACAGTTGAAAATGAATTTAGAAAAACTGAGTTGTGGATAGAGTGGGTAATTAATGAACGCACACGATTTTATTCTTCCATTTTTTCTTAGAAATTAAATATCAGATTTCAAAATTTCTAGCAGATTGTTGTCCTTTTCCTGACAATTGAACACAAAAAATAATCATGTTTTTGTTTTCTCTTCTAATCTACCAAAAAAGCCTAATTTTTCTTCTTTCATTATTTGTGTCTCTTTTGTCTCTCTCTTTTTTTTTTCTCGTTTCAGACAATTCTCTAAACAGTTTATGGTGAAAAATGGCTTTGAAAGCACTCAAGTCACAGCTCAAAGCAGTATTGGAATCTCTGTATACTGAGGTAAATGATTTTCTCCTGATCTCTATAAACTTCATTGTAAGAAACTTTTGGTTTTCTAAATTTCTCTTAAGTTATCCTGCCAAAAATTCTATATCTTTTCTGCAGCAAAATAGTTTTTTAGATTTCTTTTAGGTATTGAGGAATTATTGAAGGCTTTTTCAAATTCATTGCTGGATATTTTGGTGAAACCCATTCATATTATTCCTTATAGGGAGTGTTGGATCACCAATTTGATCAACTTCAGGCTTTACAAGATGCAAATAATCCTGGATTTGTCGTGGAAGTGGTCACCTTGTTCTATGAAGACACTGAGAAAACCTTAAGGGAATTGACCAAATATCTGTACTTTCTGACCACACATGGTTTTATTCTTTTTTTGTTCATCTAGTTATTGGATTACTCTAGGTTAACTTTTATCTGTGTTTGATCCTCTCATAGGGAACAACCTATTGCTGATAACCAAAGAGTGGATTCCTATGTTCACCAACTAAAAGGGAGTAGCTCAAGGTAATATCGCTATTTATTTCGTCTGATGAAGGGCACAAGCTGTACACTTGATTCATCAGAGTTTACCATTAGACAAATATGACCTGAAAACTTGGAACATATCTTTATTCACTTGGCTGATCCCAAACTGTCCATTTATGTTAAATTCTTTTTGTATGGGTGAAAGTGAGAAATGTTCACTACTTGTCATTATAATACTGCATGTTATTACTTGGTTTGTTTGACATAATTGTTACATCCATGTTGCTTTCATTTTAAACCACCTAGCTAGTGGATCCCATGTAGAAAATGTCTTTAATATATGGAACAACATGGATGGATTTTTCTTTTATGCATAAAATTTGCATGGAAGATCATCTGCAACACCTGTGTCTTTTTTATCAATATCTACAACACCTGTAAGAAGAAACAATCTTTTACAAGTTGAAAGGGCTGGAAGGGCTAGGGGCAGACCAAAGACATGGGTTGAAGTGGTAAGAAATGATTTAAGTGCTGATAATTTAACAATGGAAATGGCACTGGACAGAACAGGATAGCGAAACATGATTCATGTAGCTGATCCTATTAGTCGGGGACAAGGCTTAGATGATGATGATGATATTGTATGGTTCACTGCATTATGAAAAGCATGTATACATAGAATCATTTGTCAGGTGGTTCAAGTAATCCAATTGAGTTATCTTTGTGATTTGTTTGTGATCCATCTATTTTTGCATATTTGCTACATGTTGCATTGATGCAGTAGGCTGTTAGCATCTACATGGATAGAAGAATTTGATCCACCTTGGAAGCCCAAATGTAGGTCATCAGATCAGATTGAAAACAAGGATGTAAAGTCCTGGAAACAATTTCTGTAGTCTTGTAAGGGAGTCTGCAACAGTGCTGCATGTACACAGACGGGAATCAGAATCCAGCACTTGTATGGGTGTCTGACTTGGCAAGATGAAAAAACAAGAACTTGTGGACACATCTAAAGAAAAGCATACACTTATAAAATAGCCTATATTTTTTCAATTCTAACATTTTTTACCTACAGAAAATGTCTACAAAGTTTATATTTGTTACTTAATGACATTTTATAGGAAAATTTACATTTTTGTGTAGTCTTCTGTTCATTTATCAATGAAGCAATGAAGGAAAATAAAATCTTACATAGAAGTGTCCTTAGAATCTATGGAGTGTCAGAATCCATCGTGTGCCTGACATGGACATTTCCTCCATTTAGGGGAATCCATGCCCTATTGGTCTAGGGTGAAGAACTGTTGGAAAACAGAATTGGAGTCCACACCTTGTGGTGGGCCAACCACCTAAACCTCCCCCTAGTATGTCTAATAAGACGTTCTATGCAACCAAAGTTGTCTGTGGTTTTGGAGATTTGTGGTGTAAGTGGATCAAAAGTTGCCTGCAAACGAGTCACTTTTCAATGATTGTGAATGACAGTGCACAAATTGACGGCAGAGATGCAAGCCCCAGAAGAAGGCTTGCATAAAGCTCAACTTTGACGGCAGCAACCTTAGCAATCCTAGACCTTCCAGTATTTGGGGCTTGTTTAGGAATGAAGAGGGACAGATTGTTGCCTTATACACTGGCCCAAATGGAGTGGGGGATGCAGTTAGTGCAGAGATGAAAGCTGCTATACAGGGTGCATAAATTGCTAAAGAATTAAACTTTGGGAGGTTGATCATTGAAGGTGACTCTAAAGTGGTAACTGGGTGGCTAAAAGAACCAGAGACAGTAGCTTAGTCTTTTAGGGGAGAGATAAGGATATTCAAGTGGCTTACTTCTAATCTCACAGTGAGAGTTCAGTGGAGAGGAGGTTGGCAAATGGGCTTGCAGACCTACTAGCTAAGCAAGGGGTGAACAGGGATCACTTATTCTGGGCTCAATTGTAATTTTACTTTGTTTTGTAAGGCAGCAACTCGCGCCTTCTGGGAGAACTCTGGCTTGTATCCACTTGTCAATTTAATTTATTTATTCATGCTTAATCTTTACATGTTCTTAGTTCACTCGACTACCTACCTCCCCTCAAAGAGTAGCTTAAGCTTTTGGGGGAGTGATAGAAGGAAACACCAAAGGTGTTGAAAAGTCATACTAGTAATTACAATAATGCCATTGGCATTGTCCCCCCTTCAAAATACATGTATAGCTCCACCCAAGATACACACGATGACACTCTGATGGCATGTCGCGGACACTGTGGATGGCACTTGATGGCGCGACGAAGAGTTCACTTGTGACATCAGGGCAAGGAGTAGTACCACGAGGAGGGATTTCATCACTTGTAGTCTCCATTGGACAAGGGGAAGAAGGTTTAACATGAGGAGGGTCTGGGGAAGAAGTAGGAGTAGGAGCTAAGACAAAATGGTTAGCCTCTGAGGAAGTCTCTTCCACTCCACTAGTCTCCCCCTGTAGAGGATTCCAGGGAGGCTTAAAGAAGGATTGTGACTCAATAAAGGTGACATCCTTGGTGCTGTGTCCAACTTTGTTGCATTAGAAGCATTGCACATTCTTTCGCAAGTTTGGCCTCGCTGCAGGTTTGGATGATGAGGCTTTACCAAGGGTTATAAAACTTACAATGGTAGGATTGAGGGATTGTGAAAGCTGGGGGGCAGAGGGTTTCAAGGGTTGCTAGGACCACAATTTTTCCACTCTTTGTGCTACTTGCTAGACATCAAAGATGGAGTAGATATGTGAGGCTACTACCAACTATTGCCTCAGGGCTGGTTAGAACCCTTAAATATATCGGGTGACTATGATTTCCTTGGCCTCGTGCAGGCTTATCTAGGTTAAGAGGGATTGAAACTCAAAAGTACACTCATCTACAGACTTAGCTCCTTACCTCAAGGGCTGGAGTTGGATGAATAGGCTCTGATGGTAATCTTGGAGAAGGAACCCTTGCTTGAGTTTGGCCTGCATGGCTTCCCAAGTTCTGACATTGGGATTACCTTACTGGCATCATATCTGACAAAGGCTGCCCCACCAAGCCAAGGTTCGGCCATGTAGCTTGAGGGATACCAGCGGAACCTTCTTGTCCTTAGGAACCATCTTTTCATGGTGAAAGGTTGGCAGACTTTGCTTTAGGCTGATTGGTTGGACATTGGACTGCGTTAGGATGAACGGAGTGAGCCAACGAGCACTGTAGGAGGTAGAATTCGCGAGGCGGGTGGAGGAGCCTTGCCAGCTTATTTCCACAGCTTGGCCTTGCGGCCTCGTGAGATGACAGTCTCATGGCTCAGCAACCTCGTGACCTTGCTATTTGTCAGCCTCGCAGGTTTTGCGACTTTGTGGCCTCGTGAGACAGCAACCTCATGGAGTTATGACCTTGTGAGGTTGTTTTGAGCACGAGGTCGATTCCCGTCAAGGTTCAAAGTATCGATACGATATGCCCCGTTTCGGGCGTATCGTATTGTATCTTTTGGTCTCGATACACCTATTTACAGGTGTTTCAGGACCCCCATTTATTTCAATAAAAAAAGACTTAAAAAAATTCCAGAAATCAAGTTTTGAAAAAAAACATTAAGCGGTTAGTTTTTAGTACCGATACGCCCCTGCCAATACACGGGCGTATCGATACTTCGAACCTTGATTCCTGTGACTTTGCAGCTTAATGGGATGTGACCTCGCTTTGTCCGTGCATTGTCTCTTTGCGCTGTGCTAGGATAGGACCTATTCCACTGGACCTTGTGGGTCGAGACCTCGTCTGCTCCTTTTCCTCTGCCTTGTGGGCTGCATCAAGAATCAGTGGTGATTAATGCAGCAGTAGGGTTTTTAAAGGTCTGGCTGTCTTTCCATCTTGTATTTAGAAATGATACTTTTTCTTCTTTTTTTGAGGGTGGACTTTTTTGGGGGTCCCTAATTGGATGTCGTGTACATCTCATTGTACAAATTTTATTATCAATACATTGTACTATAATTTACCTTTCTCAAAAAACAAATAAATAAAATAACAATGAGCCTATAGTTCTATCAATAAATCATGTTGTTACCATTTCTGTTGATTGATAGTTAGCAAAGCTTTGTTGAAAATGATCAAATATAGATGGGAAAAATAATAAATTCTTTAGGGGATAAAGGCCCCAAACCCACATCTTTTTGTTAATGAGCTAAACCAAAATAAGAATCTATCTCAACCTTGACCCTGTGAAGATCAAGCAGAATTATCCTGCAGCAATGCTATAACATTGCTCCGATCAAAATCTAAAATTTTACCATCAGTTAATTTCACCAGCTTCTTGTTTCTGTTTGTCCTATTTTCTATTATGGTTTTCTTTATTTTTCCCTTGGAGTTTCCTATCAGGATACTTGCAACCTAGTTCATTTTGTGTATTGGGATGAAGTTTTTTTCTTAAAATGTAGAAAATATATATGATCTTTATTTACTTGAGATGTTTGTATGTACAATGCTTTCAAATGGTATTCAATTTGGCTGCAGTATTTTATTAAGAAAGCTACATTCATGTATTAAAATTTTGGTCATTCTGTTATCCATGTGCAAATTTAAGGATTCAAATCATGAACTATGAGATGTAATCATGTAAAGAGAAAGATAATAGGATTCTTGTTAAAAGGTATGGATAATCAGATAGTTAAAATTATCTGACTTTTTTATTTTTCTTCCCTGAAATGCTTGCACATGGGATACGTGAACTGTGGTTCAATTTCTTAAGTGTCATGTTTTCCAGAATGTGGATGCTTCTAATCATATTTGGTATTGCAGTATTGGTGCTCAGCAAATAAAACTTGCTTGCATTGATTTCCATCAGGCTTGCCTGGACAATAATAAGGATGGGTAGGAAGTCTTATCTCTATTTTACATGGATATTTAACATTTTAGGCATATACTCTTATGTATATTTTCAGTATTCAACTCAACTATATATATATATACTCTTCTCAATGCTAAGTTTCTAAGTTTCCAATATATTTTTTTACAGTCCCATACCATTATCTGCATTATATATTTATATGAATTCTTTTGTTATCCATCAGCATTTCTTCACATTTTTGAATGGGGTGTTGCCTGCATTGTGCTACTAATGTTTATTACTTTGTTTTGTCCAATAATAACCAGCACCAAATGAGTGTTTGAAATATTAGGTTAACTTCTTCTTTGGAGGGCATGGACTCTAAACTATGCGTGAACATTGCTTGAGAAAATTCTGCATTGAGCATCATTTTCCTGGTGGATTATGTCATTCTGAACAACCAAATAGATGAGAAAACTGCAAACATTTTTTGTGGGTTATATTTGCGTACTGTCAACTGGCCCCAAGGAATATATTCTCATCTAGCAATTTTTTTTCGTGCTTAGTGATAAATGCAGTTGCTGAATTTCATTCTTCTTTCCCCACTGGGGGGAATGGGATGGGGGGCTTGCATTTTTTTGTCAATAACAATAGCTTTATCAAGACACAAAGCCAAGAAAGGAACAGGGAGAGATAAACTCTCTTAACTCTCCCAGAAAGGTACAAACAAACCAAAAAACAAGAAAATTAGCAATTACAATTGAGCCAAAACATTGCATCCCTATTCATCCCTTGCTTTGCTAGCCCATCAGCCATATGGAATTGGCATTTCTTTTGACCCAAACCACTTTAACTTCAATATCTTGAGTTAACCACTTTAACATTTTCCTTTCATTGCTGTAATTCCAGAACCTGCTCCTCTCATCATTGAACCATCCCACCACTAGCTTGGAGTCACCTTCTATGATTAGTTTACAAATGCCAATGCCCATATCTTTGCCCTCTTAACCCCTTCCAAAGCTGCCATTAGTTCAGCCCCTAGAGAGTCACCTTCTCCAATTGGGCCAGAGAAGAGGGCAAAGAACTTCCCTTCCTCATCCCTAAAAGCACCTCCAATTCCTGATGGCCCTGGATTTCCAACACTATTCCCATCAATATTTAACTTGATATACCCATTACTTGGGGGGGGGGGGGGTCCAAGAAGGAATTACTGCATTCTTAACCGGGGCTGAAAAAGCAATTTCCTTCCAATTCCTTGAAAAATCTTCCATTGCAAATCCTTAAAACAGATCCAAGGATTTATCCAATGTACTACTCTGTTGAAGACCACTTCTATGGTAGCTTCTTTAGTTCTTTCCTTGTTTGAGAATAGCCATGAGTTCCTCTCTTCCCAGATAGACCAATAACTAGCAGCCCGTACACACCTCCACTTGATCCTTCCTCTCTGCTTTGGTCAGCTGAAAGTTGTAGAGGCAAGAAAGAGTTGCACGTCTGGTGGAGACCACCTACACCCAAACAAAGAAAGAAACCAATCCCAAATATCTTTTTTTTATCAGCACAAATAGTAATTTATTTATAGAGATCATTAGTGTGGCCCCCACTGTTTTTTAGTCTAGCTTAAGGGTAGTTTAGCCCTTTCATCCTTATTTTTAACATTAATATAAATTGCAGAGTGGGGCGACAATCTCAGTCATTACACTCTATTTTCTGATTTCTTTTCTTCGTGGCTTTCTTCTCCTCTTCTCTCTCTACTCTTCGTCTCTTTCTCTCAATCTTATTCTGGTTATTTTATATAAACCTAGGACTGATTCCAGTCCTATTTGACTACATGGTATCAGAGCCAACCTAGGGATTCTTATGCAGAAATCTCAGTTTTTTAGGGTTTCAATCTTGGATTGAAAGTGGTGGCAGAATTTTTCTGGGTAAGTCAGTATTTTTTCTTGAGATCGAACCTAAAAAAAGGTGTTCTTTTATCAGTCTGGGAGGTCAATCTTGGATTGAAGGTGGCAGCAGAATTTTTCTGGGCAAGTCAGTTTTTTTTCTTGAGATCGAGCCTAAAAGAATGTTCTTTTTATCAGTCTGAGAGGTGCGGCTGGAAGGTCTTGATTTTTCTCCTCATGTTTTAGGGTTTCTTTCTAACCTACGATTAGTTTTAGGGTTTCTCAGACTGAAATCCTAAAGATTTTGTTGTTGCTAATTCTAGGACAATATTTAGACTTGTTTCAGCTTCAAGAGTGGGTTGTGCTACACTCTGGAGAATTAACAAATCTGTTTTCTCCTTTCTTGGTGGCGGCCGAACCTTCTAGGTCTACTGTTGAGTAAATTCTGGGTGTAACTTCACCTCTTTTAAGTCCTAAAAGTTCTGTTTTGACCTATAAATTGAGAAGGGCTGACGGCAATGGAGTTTAAGAACCAAGGGGAGAGTTTTTTGGAGGCTGGTGGTTCTGGTAACATACCTGAAAACAGTTTTCAGATCACCATTGTCAAGTTTGATGGATCAAATTACTTGGAGTGGGCTCAATCAGCCTTGATGACTATTGGAGGTAGAGGGAAACTGAATTATTTGTTGGGGGATGTGAAGGAATCAACCGAGGAGGACCAAGCTTATGCCAAATGGACTTAGGAGAACTATTTGGTTATGACATGGCTGTGCAACTCCATGCACCCACACATCAGCCGAAACTACTGGTGGGCAAAAACTGCTAAGGAAATTTGGGATATCATGAAAGAAACCTACTCTCAACCCTTTAATGTAGCTAGGGCTTATGAGCTGAAATGTGAAGTAAATAATCTTAAGCAAGGAGAGAAACCAATTTCGGTTTACTTCTCAACTTTGAAATCCTTATGGCATGAAATTGACCATCTAGAAACAATTGAATGGGAAAGTCAGAAGGATGCACAGACCTATAGAAAGCAAGTTGAAACTAATAGGGTGTTTGAGTTCCTAGCTGGTCTGAATTCTGAGTATGACATTATGAGGCAACAACTTCTAATGAGAGACAGTGTGACTTTATCACAAGCCTACTCCTTGGTGCACAGTGAAAAGAGTAGGAGAAAGGGTATGTTGCAGCATCAGCCGTTTGAATCAGCCTTGGCAGAAATTAAACCTAAGTTTGGGGGTGATAAAGAGAGAGATTCTAAGAAGGAAGACCAGAGGGACCTAGTATGTGAACATTGCAAGAAACCTAAACATACTAAGGACACTTGTTGGAAGTTACATCGGCACCTAGTTCCAACAAAATTCAGAAATAAAAAGGGGAATGCTAATGTGGCGGTTACTACTGACAGCACAACCTCATCGGGCACAAGAGCCACATCCCTAGACACCTTAGCTGCTGTCCGGGCTGCTCTGACTCAGTTGGAGAGTGAAGTTGCTAATTCAGCACCTTTGTCTCAGCTATCAGTCACAACTTCTACTCCAACTTCAGCCTTTGCTCATTCAGGTACACAGGCCTCAGCTTATCATGCTTCAGCCCCAGGTAACACCGAACTTTGTTGGGTTATAGATTCAGGTGCATCTGATCATATGACTGGCTTGTCCTCACTGTTCACTACCTACCACTTATCCTCTAGCAGAGACAAAGTGTCTATTACAGATGGCTCTCTTGTTCCCATCTCTGGGAAGGGTGACATCAAGTTGTCTAATGCTATGACTTTGTCTTCTGTTTTGCATGTTCCTAAACTTAGTACTAATTTGCTTTCTGTTAGTAGCATTACTAAAATCCAAAACTGTTCAGGAACTTTCTTTCTTGATCGATGTGTATTTCAGGACTTGGAGATGAAGAAGGTAATTGGGATTGGCCATGAAATGAATGGAATCTACTAGCTTGGAGGGATCTCACATGGGGAAGTTAGTGAAGTTGGGAGGTCTTTTGTTTCTCAGTTTGTTGTCAGGTTATGCTTTAGCATAATCGATTGGGTCATTTATCTTTTAAGTGTTTGAAAGTTGTGAGCTTGCAAAGCATTGTAGAACTACATATTCATTGTGAGCTTGCAAAGCATTGTCCAACCAAATGATCTTTCTTTTCATCTCCTGGCTCCCACAAAAGATCCCTCATCAATTTTTCTAATTGCTTTGCGATTTTCACTAGGATTCTAAAGGTGGAGGGGTAATAGGTGGGTAAATTGGATAAGGTGGATTTGATCAATGTAATTCTTCTCCCTAAAGAGATATAGTTTCTCTTCCAAGATGCTAATTTTTTAGCAAATCTTTCCACTATTGGTTTCTAGAAACTCTTTACTTTAGGGTTTCCTCCCAACGGCATACCTAAGTACTCTAGGGGCCAAGCTCTCACCTCACAACCTAGGATCTCAGCCAAAAGTGACAAGTACTCCTCTCCTAAATTTACCCCAGCCACGCATCTTTTCCCCCAATTGACTTTCAAGTTTGATAATCTTTGGAAACAGTCAACTAAGGCTTTCAAATTCCTTGTGTTTTTTCTCAGTGCAACTCTCACAAAAAATGAGTACGTCATCCACAAATCGTAGATGTGTCACAGCAACCTCATTTCTTCCAATTCTCCACCCTCTGAAGTGGCTTTTGAGATCAGCCTTAGTGATCAATTTACTCAAGACCTATGCAGTGAGAGTGAACAAGAAGGGGGAAAGAGGATCTCCTTGACTTAGACCTCTTTTATCTGGGAAGAAATCCTTTGCCACACCATTATTCAAAACTGAGAAATGTGCTGAGCTAATACAGCCATTAATCCACTTCCTCCATCTTTCTCCTAGACCTCCAATTTGCAAGTTAAGCCTACTTCTCGAAACCTTTGGTGTGGAGGGGAAATTAAGAGAAGTTAATTTATAGAGTACACCCAGGGGGAATAGGTTTTCTCCAAACCTCTTTCACAAGAAAATAAAAGCCACTAGAAGTATCAAGAGAAGTTAGGGTTTTGAAGAAGGAAGCACAAGAAAACATACTAGAAGGTGAAGGAGTCCAAATTCGCCTGTCAAATTTAGTAGGGTCCAAGAACACTTTATCAAGAATATCCAAAAAGTCTGATATACTACCCACCTCTATATCCCTAACTGCTCTTCTCAGACC